AAGGCCAATGGCATGAAGCTTTTCCCCTGTTTTTTGCTAGGAGCCTTACGTTTAAGTCTTACTCATTTTGAGTTGGTTTTTGTGTGTGGTGAAAGATAAGGATTTCTTTCTTTTTCATTTGGCTATCCAGTTTTCTCAACACCATTAGTTGAAGAGACTATCCTTTCGTCATTGTCTACTTTTGGTGCCCTTGTTGAAGGTCACTTGACTATATATGTGTGGCATTACTTCTAATCTTTGTTTTTTGTTAATTGTTCTGTATATTCTACATAGTACCTGAAATCCTAGTCAGAGCAATTAGGCAAGAAAAAGAAATGAAAGCATGCAAATTGCAAAGGTAGAAATAAAATTGTCCCTTTTTGCAAATGACATGATCTTATATATAGAAAACACTGAAGACCTATTTTTAAAAACTCCTGGAGCTAATAAACAAATTCAGTAAAGTTGCAGGATACAAAGTCAATACACAAAAAATCAGTTGTATTTTACGTACTAAATGAACAATCTGAAAAGGACATTAAGAAAACAAATCCCACTTACGACAGCATCAAAAAGAATAAAAGACTTCAGCATAAATTTAAGGAAGTGAAAGACGTGTACACTGAAAACTACAAAATATTGATGAGAGAAATTAAAGAAGACACAAGCAAGTAGATACTTTTATTCATGGGTTGGAAGACTTAAGATGTCCATACTACCCAAGGCAATCTTCAGATTCAGTGTAATCCCCGTCGAAATTCCAATGGCATTTCTTACAGATACAGAAAACACAGTTCTAAAATTCATAGGAACCACGAAAGACCTTGAGTAGCCAAAGTAGTCTTGAAAAAGAACAGAGCTTGGGAAGCATCACACTTTGTGATTTCAGAATTGATCACAAAGGCGCAGTAATTAAAACAGTTTGGTACTGGCATAGAGAGAGATGCCCTTTTTATTTTGGAACAGTTCTAGGTTTACGGGAAAGTAGCAGATGTAGTACAGAGCCCTCCTCATGTGCCACTCAGCCAGTTTTCCCTAATGTCAGCATCTTATGTTACCCGGGCACGTTTGTCAAAGTTGAGAAACCAACACTGGTGTATTATGTTAACTAACCCGCAGGCTTTATTTAGATATCACCAGTTTTTCACTAATGGTCTTAGTTGCAGGATGCAGTCCCCAGTACCACACATCACATCTAGTCTGGGTCCGTTTTGAATAGTTGGCTGTCTTCCCATTATTCCCAATATTTCTGTGTTGTCAGCGGAGCCTCAATACTGTTGCCTTTGTTTTTTCTGTAGAAGGTTTTTATCTCTTCACATTTGTACATCTGAGCAAACCTGCACCTGAGCGAAGATAATCACACTTGTTGGAAATATGTGGAAAAGAAGAATAAACAGTTTCTGATTTTATAAGATTCTTTGGTGATTAATTTGTTTCAATTTGGGCCTGTAGGTACCAAACTGTTTTGGTCATTTACCTTCAGGAAATTAATGCCATGGCTCCCAGTGTATTCTTGGTGTTTGAGGTTAGCAGATCACTGAGTGCTCTGGTTTGTGATGTGTTGCTGTCCGTGTCCCCCCACTCATAACATCTTGCAAAACTATAGCATCATGACCAGAATATGAGTCAAGATACAGAACATTTCCATCACCCAAAGACCCCTCTGTTGGCCTTTTATAAGTAAACCCTTTTCGCTCCTGCCCCTGACACCTTCTTTTGGTGATGAGTGATTTTTTTTTTTATTAAAACCTGGATATTTTTTGGTATTTCTGGATTCTGAATCTTATTAAACCTTCTGTTTTAGCCGCCTTCTTTTGACACCACTCTGACAGAAGTGCCTGTTGCACTTGGTCACTGCCAGGAGGGTGCAGAAGGCAGGGTTCCCCACTAGGCCTCCACTCATACCTCCCTGGGATTGGAAGGGGGTTCCAGGCTGCCCAAGCATCTCCACAGACTCTATTGGGGGATGGGTGGGTCAGATCCTTTTTAACAGCCTGGCATGAGTGGGATGGAACCACAGTTTAGTCTTGGTGTTTGGCTGAATGAAATAGACCAATTAGTGTCTGACAGTTTTCTGTCTTGCTATGCGGTCCCTTACTGGCTCTTTGGATAGAGAGCAGACTTTTTGTTGGAGTTTTTTTCATCTGTGCTTGTTAGCATGTCCGGGTTGTGGGCGTCTTTAGCCCCAAATTCGTGATCTATGAGGCGAGAAGAAGGCCAGGACGCTCAGTGCTGGGACTTGCCTTCAGGGCTGGGGCCCTATCCACTCTGCCTTTCTTCTCTTCACCTTTTTGTTTCCTATGTTTTATATATGTAATGTCCAGGGGTTTTAGTTGTACTTAGCTGGAAGAATTAGAAAAATACTTTATTCTGTTATTTTGGAATTAGAAGTCTACTTCATATCCACTTTTGCAGTATAATTTTCTCAACAGCAGTTATCTTCCTATTATAATTTGCTTATTACATTATAAAACTAATTATTTTCTCAGGAATGTACCACCCGGTGAACTTGTAAATGTTCTGTATTTTTTCATTAAATCAGGTAATTGAGTTTATTACGTAATGTGAGCATTATTTATATAAAAATAATAGTTTTGAAAATGCTGTTAGCGACTTCAGTGTCTTTTAATTCTAGCAACGGCACTGCAACATTCAGAGAAATGATACCTGGATTTTTAGTGGATGTGCAGCAGGGATTTTTCTCCAGAAAATCATTTAGTTAATCTATTTCATAGATTTCTTCAAAAGAAAGTATTAATAGCTATGATTAATGAATTTCTGCCACAAGCCAAAAGAGACATGTATTTGCTAATGTGGTATTTTTAGCTAAGAAAAACTTGTTGTTTTTTTAAAGATTTTTTTTAAGATGTCCATTTGGAGATTCTGTATGTATTTTTTCTTCCTTCTCCCTTCCACAGCTTTCCTTCCATAAGAGACTAATGCTTTTAATCTTTGTATGACTGATGAAGATACCTGAAAAATAATAGTGGTATGCCATATCTGGTGGGTACTAATATTATAATACTTTTCCTTTTTATTAATCTGTTGAAAATTAAAGGGTGGAGATTTGATAAATTAACTGCAGTTGTTTATAGCAAATTGAAACAGCGTTTAAACCACTCTGCTAAGCTCATTTCAGTAGTTGGAGTCCCTTGTTTGAACATCAATTTCAAGCTCAGTTCTGTTTCTCTCATATTGTAGCAGATGGTTTTAGTTACAGATAATTCATGATATTTCAAGGAAGTGCACATCCCCTTTAGCAAGAGATCTATTTCACTTTAATTAAAATAATACTAAACATTACTGCGTTTTGCTTAAGAGAGCAAATATTTGGAAAAGTTCATCCTCAGTTTTGTGCATTTTGTACAGTGATATCTTCAGTCTTGTGAAGGCAGGGCTTTGTGTTTGCAGTTCTTCTTAGTGTTCCCTCTCCTGTCCACCTTCAGTGAGGATTGAATTCATCCTTGCCTTGGATTTATCATATAACTCTGGATTGGTCACCTAAGGGGTTTAATTTCAAATTCATGCCATCTTTGTCTCTGCCTCTCAGTTATATTTTCCATTTATGGGCATTATTTTAAAATTTCTTTACGTTGCTTAAACAGCAGATATGATCCAGCCACTTCATCTACCTAAAATTAAATTGAAAGTCAGTAAGGAAAAAGAATTTCTGTGCAGCCATATTGGGCACACAAGCTCATGTTCTTTACTTAAGCCTTGCAGATGTCCACCTTTATTGATGATGAGAGAAATGTACGGCTTCAAGTAGGGTGTGTTATTTTTCACTTCTTAAATTATAAAGAATTTAGGGGGCGCCTGGGTGGCTCAGTTGTTAAGCGTCTGCCTTCGGCTCCGGTCATGATCCCAGGGTCCTGGGATCAAGCCCCGCATCGGGCTCCCTGCTCAGCGGGAAGCCTGCTTCTCCCTCTCCCACTCCCCCTGCTTGTGTTCCCTCTCTCGCTCGCTCTCTCTGTCAAATAAATAAATAAAATCTTAAAATTATAAAGAATTTAAATAATGGTAATACCAGTGTTAAAAACAATGTCACCATTTGAAAACTCTCATACCTTTAAAATTTGTACTAACCATAGGAAAAACAACTTGATAATATGTATCCGGAATCATAAAATTGTCTGTGTCTTTTAGTAAATTCTTCTAAAGTAGAGTTAGGTGTAAGGAAATAATCTGAAATGTAGAGAACAGCACTTGTGAGGGATTATTTGGCAATATTAGAATTGTATTTATACCATGATTATTTCAACATGCCTATAACAAAAAATTATGACATGAATAGATACAGAATTCTTCAAATGTGTTGGAGTGGAGTTTTTGTGTGATAGTATAAATTCAAAGAGCAGCACTAATTGTGTATCTCTATGTGGCGCACGCGCAGAGAAGACAAAGGAGGCCACGGTGTTTTCTGTTTTGATCGTTATCATTAGGAAATGGAATGGTGGGTTCCTTTTCGTTTTATTTCTTTGGATTTCCAAATATCCCAGGGGGAGAAGAGGAGTACGTGTTTGTTTTGTTTTTTTTTTAAATCTGTTTTTCTTGATTCTTTTTCTTTCTCTTTTTCTCTTAACCGGAAGCATACATGTGAATGTCAGTAGCTTGGCAGCGCAGGAGAGGGCAGTGTTTCCTCTTGTCCGTCCTGAGGGCCTCCCTGAGCTGCCCCAGGAGCACCTGATCTGCCTAGGAGGAACCCAGACAGTTGTGTTTAAATGCTCTGCGGCATGTTCTTTCTCCCAGGTTCTGAATCTTTACGTGGATGAACCCTGAGCTGTTGAGATATTGGGCTCATCGGACAACTTAGGCTCAGAGGCCCTAGGGAACTGAGGATGGACAGACTGAATGAAATCTCCGGCAAACTTTTCCACAGTGGGACTATTTGAGAATCCCTTGTAAGAAGGGAGGCAGAAGCAGTTGTGTTGCTGCGGAGGAGATGACAAAGCCTTGTAGTCACAGGGAAGAGGGACGTGTTTTGCCTCTTTAACACAGTGTGGCTCCTCTCTGTCCCACAGCTGGCCCTGAAGGACCCGGTGCACACGGTGTCGCTGCAGCAGTTTATCTACGAGAAGCTTAAGGCACAGCAGGAGCTCCTGGGAGAGCAAGGCTTCCAGTCCCTCATGGAGACGGTGGACACAGAGATCGTCACCCAGCTACAAGAGTTTTTGCAGGGCTTCTGAGAGCACATGACCTGTGGCTGCCTCCCCTTGAGGAGACAAGCCAAGGAACCCGGCCTGCTGTCTGTGTGTGAGAGCCTGCTGAGGCGCTGAAGAAATCCCTCGTGTATTACAAAGACGTGAAGACCATGCATTTTTACTACAAAATTGAGTGAATAAATGTACATCCCACACAACTAAAATCACAAACCTATTCCTCAAAAGAATTTAATTTTATATTTCAGAGGGGCCCTGTATTTACTAGATATAGATTTGATGACACTAGCTGCTTAGTTTTTTGTTAAGAGAGAGGAAACCGTGTGATTACCTTTTAATCATGTGCTCTTAACACTTGAGAAGATGAAGGTTAATGTCTGCGATGTCTTTCTGCAACCAGAATTAATATTAATTTGGCTGCTTTATCCCTTTTTTAAGCTAATGAAACCGCAAGTTTGAAAGATGACAAAGCTGTTCAGATGATGCGATTGAAGAAATGTGTGCACCAGGCAAAAATATATAAATAGTGACAAATATATATTACTGAGGTTATCTTGCAAGGGAGTTGCTTTCATCTGACCTAGAAAATGTTTTATCAAATGCTTTTATTTCCATTTTACTAATTTGATACAAAAAATTAGTAAAGGGATTTTTTTCTCGTTTTATTTTCAGTAATACATTTAGTCTTTAAATGCGTATCGTAAGGCCCGCGGAAGGGAACCTGTGGTACTGCGGCTTCGGGTGGGAGACCTCTGGTCGTGATTTGGCCCCAGCTCCTTTATTACTCTTGAAGGCCAGGAGCGCTGTGAGCCCCGAGAAGCCCCAGGCAGCCCGCAGACCCCCCTGTGCTATGACGTGGCTGTGACAGGCCGCTCCGCACTTACCCATCCCAGGCTCCTCACCACAGGGGTGCATCGGGCCCGCAGTATTAATGGGTGCACCTCGGAGGACCCAGCAGCAGTCCCCAGGGTGCCAACACTCATGTGACAAGTCTTCCTTCCTTATTCCTCCAACACGCAGTACCAAAAAAGGGGAAAAAGGAGAAAATAAAGCCTTACTTTGTTTTACTTGCCATTTATTATAAGGAACCTTTAAAGCATTTTTAAGGAAATACTCAAAAGCAGGGTTGGAAAATGATCTTTCTATAGAAAGTTGGGTACAGTATGTGACTGCAGGAAACCCACTGCCCCTTTGTAAGCTCTGGAACCCAAAATGTATGGAAATACTTGGTGTTTTCAGCAAGAGAAAGAAAATATGGTCCAAATTAAATTTTCCAAAGATACCTTTGATTTGTCTGATTATTTTTCCTGCTCCACGAAAAATGAGTTTGTAAAAATTGCCCCATGGTTGAAAGGGATGTTTTCTTTCCTACTCTGGGTGTTGGCTCTGCCCTGGTAGGTGGTGCTGTATGTAGCAAGTCCTCGTTATTCTTCTTTCAGTTCCTCTTTTTATATAAAGACTTAAAAGTTTCTCTAATGTGATATTTCTTTATCGTTTTTATTCAGTCCTCAAGACTGACCTAAGAAGAAGAATTTCTTTTTGTTGATATAATTATTTTCATTTAGGACGCTATTCCCAGCGTTACCAGAAATTCTCAAATGTGCTCCAGTTTTTCAGTTATAGTAAAATAACTCCTCTTTCCAGTTCCCGACAGATTTCATTATAGTGTTATAGCAAATATTACTGAAATAGCTATGTTGCAGAAACAGTAAAAAACTTACCTCAGGGAAAGAGTTTGGTTCATTTTTTTATACTGAAATGTTTAAAATAAGCTTTAAGTAGGAACATTAAGTAACATGACTTAAGTAAGGGACATTAAGTAGGAAGTGTTTAACACAGCTCAGAAAAAAATCATGTATCTTGAAATTTTAAGTGCTCAATTAGACATAAAATACAAATTTTGATTTATGGAATTCTGTTCATTAATGCAGCCTTATAGCAAACATTATTAAGTTTTGGACAAACGAGTTAACTCAGCCAGGCCTCTGGTTGAACTGTGGCTCCCGATACAAGGTAATGATCATTTCTATTCCATAAATATAGCTTCTTTTCTCTTTATCTTATGTTTCAGAGACTTCTCCATTCCGCTAACAAAGGCCCATGTGGCCAAAAAAAACATTTTAAAGTTTTTATTACAAGTGGTCCCTTGTCCATCTGTCTCCCACCAGTCATTTTAGAGAAACCACATCATTGCATGTTAAACACCCATGTTTATTGTTTCCCTTGAGAATCTTCACCTTAGATCTTTATTTTACCTACTCCTCTCTTCAACTTGTAATTGTTCAAATTCCTGTTTTGTGCCATGGTGCTATGCTAAATTCTGGGATTAGAACAGGGTACTTATACCTTACGAAATTTTATAGTTCAGTGGGAACACATACTTGCCAACACACTATTAAAAAATAGTGGTTCTAATGGAAACGTATGTTCTGGAGCAACAGGAATGTGGGAGAAGGAGACCATATACAAGAGAGAATGTATAATTTGGTATGTATTTAAAAACTACCCTGAGACAGCATAGTTTGGCGAAGTGACGTAGAAGTCAGTGGCGTTATGCTGGAACTGGGAAGCTCTGATTTCAGACTCAGCTACTTGAAATTACTCTGACCTACGGTATCGTCACTGAGGTTCTGGAAATGTTAGAGCTCAACAGCCTCACAACTATCCCTCGTTCCACGAATTAAAACATAAAGCTCACCTATTAAGGGTAGTGGTCTTCTGCTCTACTTCTACAAACCTTACAGATCCCACACGAACAGAAACTTAAAAGTTGTTGGAGAAGTGATAAAAGGAAGACGAGATACATGTCATGGGAAAAAAAACTCTTCCCTCAACTTACAAAAACATTTTAGTCTATAGAAGCATTGAGAGAATAGTATAACGACCAACAGCCCTTTATCTGGATTCACAAAATTGTTTAATTTTAACACGTTCTCCATACATATGTATACACACACAAATATATACTTTTGCTGAATCTTATGAAAGTAAGTTATAGACACTCCACCCCCACATAGTCCAGCATACCTCTAAGAATGGCATTTCTCTGTATATCTACTAATACGTTAGAAGGTTCACGCAATAATATAAACAGTTCATACTCCAATTTTCCCCAGTACCCCAAAGATGTCTTTTATATGCTGCCCATTAGTTTTATGATCCAGAATGCACTGAATGCGTATTCATTGCATTTGGCTGTTCAGTTTTTAATCTAGAATAGTCCTTTTTACATGTCATTGGCTTTTTTGAAGAATCCCAAACAGTCGTCTGGTAGAATGTCATTGACGGCCCGGGGTTCTGATTATTTGCTCATAGTTGGGTGTGGTTAACATTGGTTGGCAATGAGACTGCATTGGTAACGGGGTACACCTGCCGTGGCATCACGTCTGGAGGCCCGCAATGTCTGCTTGTCTCTCTGGTCATACTGTAATGGTTAAGGTGGTGACAGCCAGGCCTCTCCTTGATAAGGATAAGTTTTCAAAGAGAACCTTAACAGTCCCAGAAATTTCCAGTCATGGCTGTGTTTCTTTTGTTCTGTTTTGCTTTTACCCTAGAACTTTTTTTTTTTTTTTTAAGATTTTATTTATTTATTT